CACTTAAAATCCCATTCTACCCCAACCGGGTTTGGTTGATGATTTCAAACCATGTCAGCTAACACATAGAGGAACAAATAACTCTTCTATGACACTTTCCTAATTCATCAATTTAAGATGCGGTCAAAATTTTCAAGAGTGAAGTTTACTGGTAAAATTTCCATACAGTAACTCCCTGCTTCGGCATAAACTTCTTCATTTATTCAATACCTTCCCCTGTTTCTCACCATTACCGTCCTTCCACTCAACATGGAAGCCAATTTGTCTCATTAGCAACACACCACACCAATTCTTACATGCAAGAAAAAATGGTAATTGACAAGAGATAATTTCAAACCTTTACTCCAAAAAAAGCTTTGAGCCTCTTCTTTTAGCTTCTTTTTTCTTACAATCTTGAACTCCCTTTCTCCTATACAACATCAGATTCTTATAAACTTATCATTTTACAATATAGCTCACTTTAGAGGCTTGAATAATATAAAGCTTCAGAAATTTTACTTACTGGAGAAAATTGCAGGTTGTCTTAAACTACCATGAAAATGGATGGGAGAAAGGAAGAAGGAAGGAACGATGCAAGATAAACCATGAAAAATAGATGAAAAATGGGAAAGTGAAATGGGTATGCACGGGTAGGCTATCAAAAATCAAAGGATTTTATGTAAAACTTCCTAACTGGTACCTCAATTGTTAATAGGCTACAACTTAATACCCAAGCTTGATCTTTTTCTCTCACTCAAATAAGTCCACTTATAATCTCATTCTACCCCAACTGGGTTTGGTTCAACTCGACTCAACTCGACTACTCAACTCTATGCTAAGACTCGACTCGGAGTAGGACGTCACAAGCTCATAAACATTAAGAACATTAAAAAGAACACAAAATATTCTTTTTAGTCATGCACAACTGGACAAAGGAGTCGATCTACTTCAGCTACCCTGATACCACCATGATGAATGGGGTCCTAAGCAGGGAGCGGAGATGTAGTTGGTTAGCGAACAAGTTGCAAAATACGAAAGAGGAACCTACTTCTAAGTCCATTGTGCTCCCGATTATAACTGGAAGCAACTAGAATTATCCTGACATCATGTTCTCACTATATCGAATGGGCATAGCTTTCAAATCCCTTTATCAATGCTCCAGGAGAGGCCCCCAAATTCTCGCTCAATGCTTCAAGTTTTTGCCATCATAAGCTGTCCGTTTCTTATTATAATTTTCGGCGCAAACGTAAAAAACAAACCTCGCTTATATTTGATTGGCAAAGCACAAATTTACCTGATGGCTGTTTACGGTGAGAGACTTGGCCCTCCCCTCTCACTGCTGAAATTTGTTGAAAGCGCAGCCAGTATATTCAGTTAATACTAAGCTGTCCCGGCAGCAAACGTAAAACAACCGGCAGCAACAAAGTTACCATGGCTGTTTCGGAGGATAGCACCCCCCACTGCTGAAAATTTGTTGAAAGGCGCAGCAATATTCAGTTTACAGCAATCTTGCTTAGGCCGAATCCAAGTAATAATCATTGGCTTTAATTTTTATTTGCCAAAAGCAGCCGAAATGAAGTGACAATCAGTTTTTGCCGACCAAGTTGTTGCAAATCTTTTACCAGAATTGGCAATGCTCCAGTTTAATAACAGCCTACTGATATCTTGTATAAGGAGGTCTGGAAAGCAAGCATCATTACCCCAATTACACTCACAATACATTTTCCACACAGACCATACAATTACCTGTGGTACCAAGCGTCTAAGCTTACCCATAGCCGAATCTGGGTTGTTACAAAGCCACCAAAAAATAAACGCTTGTCGCAGAGAATTTTGTGGCTCAAGAGTATCTAGGAAGAAAGAGCCAAAATAATTCCAAATTTTGGCAATAGTGGGGCAGAAATAAAAAAGGTGGTCCGCAGTTGTCTCCGACTCGAAGCAGAATGGGCAACGGGATGGACCATATATCCCGAATAATTGAAGACGTCTCGGTAAAGGTATAGCTTCCCTGAGGAGTTTCCATGTAAAAATGGAAAGCTTAAGCGGGAAAGATGAGTCTCAAATAGCATGCTTGTTAGGCAAGAAGTTTTGCTCTCTCTAACACAATCGCAGGCTGAAGCAAGAGTAAATTTGTCATTCCTTTCTCCTCGCCACACCACATTATTATCTGCAAAATCAACAAGTGGACAAGCAAGAGAGTGAACTTGACAAATTCGTTTCCAAATGAACTATGCTATTAATTATTTAAAATATAATAAAGTATTTTATAATTTTACAAGTTACATCTTTCATCTGTTATAAAATTAAAAAAAAAAAAAATTCCAACTGATCCAGAGACAATGTAACAATTTAAGTAGATAAAAAAGTCTGTATCCACGCAATAAGTACTGTCGGTTGCGCCAACAAGCCAAACACTGGGAACCAAATTTTGTGCCGAGACTTGCATTCTATCGGTCGATTATTATCAAACAGTAAAATGAAGGTTCCTGTTGATTGGGGACAGCAAAATCAAGGTTTCATATATCATTCAATCTCTAGGGGAATCTCGGATTTAATTAATTAATTTCCTTAAAATTACATATTCTACCTTCCGGATAGATACCAGAATCTCTATGTGCCAATAGTAATTAATTTCTACAAAATCCACATTTTATATTCCCTTATTTTATTTTTGGCATTAGATTTGCTTTCTCTTAAATTAATTAGGGTTAGTATGATTATTTCATTATGTTATGAAATCTCAACTAACCATTGTTTTCAAAATGATAATACTTAAGCTTATGTGCTAACTCCTAAGCTAACATTATGTTAGCTATATCTATACCATATGTTTTAGTTTTTGGTTTCTTTTATTAACGTACTAATTACATAGAAATTTCAAAGTTCATGGCCTTGGGTAATTATTAACCTAAAATAAAATTTTAATTCAATATATGTGTAAGCTGATCCGAAAGTACCTTTGATCTTTAATATAAAAAGAAATAATAATTATTCATGGGTCAAAATGTGAGTGCATGAAAAAAAAAAGATTGTATCAACGTTTTAAAAAATCTAGGTTCTATTTTAATTAATGTTTGAAAAATCTTGTTCTATAGTGATCAAATCTTTATCAATTCCAAACCATAGCTTTTTGTTTCTTGAGGCACTAAGTAATAGATCTTGACCAATGAAGCTTAAAAGAAACTTATTGGTATCTTCCTGCAGTAATATATAGAAGGATTTAGTCTAAGATACAGGGGCAAAATTAAGGAAGTGAAATTAATGATCAACAGGCTTCGTACCTATACTATGCATAGCAAATATGAAATGCCTTTTGTACTTGTTTGCTAATCTTACTTAAATGTTAATCCTGTAATAAAAAAAGGTTAGAAAAATAAAATTAAGGTAAGAAAAAGTAGTTGGTCGTAACAAACAAAAGCAACACACATAACAAGACTAACCAATCTTCTACTAGATATTGTTATGACCAACCACGTGTATAGTTGCATAATGATGAAAAAACAGCTTTACTACGTGTTGATTATTAAAATTTCCAACTTTATTTCCAACCATAAAACCTCGTGTTTCAATAATTACTTTTGACTTGACTATAATTATATATTTATGGGTTATATTAGTTTGTTTAGAATGGATTTCCAATTTTTCTTAAAATAAAATAAACAATAGAATTATTCATCTATTAGCCATTATTTTCTCTATACATATGTATTATGAACACATCTCAATTCATTTCTATGGTTGAGTAGCAATAATAACTTAATAATTTTTCAATCCCCATTATTTATAATGACATTATAACTCTAATCAAAACGATTATTAATATATTTTATTGCCACCGAATGGGAAGATCCAGTACGAATGTATATTAAATCTTGTAGAATCCACGAATAACATTATATATAAATAAATAAATAAGTAGATAAAAAAAAAATACTATCGTGAAAATTAGCTAGGAATAAAAAGACAGCACCCATGATTTAAGCTGTCATGCAACAGAACTAATAATTCGTTGAAATTGCCATTCAAGAGAAAAAATAATTCGTTCAAACTGGGTACCATTTTATTTTTTAATTTTCACGTTAGTCTTTTATCTCGTGCGTAAAAGATGAGTAAAAGGGAGATATATATATATATATATACACATTAATCAATGCACCGTTATGTTTTTTTTTTTTTTCAAGGACAGATTATTATATAAGGCTTTTCTTTTATATTGGGGAAATTGCTGCAAGAGACAGGAGTCCGTAGTAGAGTATGGAGGAACCGTGCCTTAATGGTTGTTTAGTTGACTAATTGCTCAGTTTTGATATTTGCATGTCGTTTTACTATGATCATGCATGGAAAATAATCACAATAATTTTTTTTTCTGTTATTACCATTTTTTTTATAATTACATTTGCGTACCATGAGTGCATGTTTATTGCAATATATGAATGACAATATATATATGTTTGTGGTGTTTATGATAGTATTAGTAAAAATAATTGATTTCATAGTTATAACTCAAGTGACACTCTTGTTTAATATTTAAATTTTGTCTTACAATGAAATGCAGATGATATTATAGGGCTTCTGAGATATCATAGCTTTGAATTCTATACAATTACAATTTACAAGAGATACTAGCAAAGAAGGAAAGTGATCTTTGCACGTAATGACATGATCCTTAGACAAACAACGTAAGTTTTTAATATCAAGCATGGATGTGATCACAAAAATTAAAAGACCCCATAGCATAGGGAACAAGACATGTGCCCTTACTAAGTTATGGATAGGGCACATGCTCTATCAAACCTTTAAAAATTAGGAAACATGCCCTAGTTGATCCATATAAAAATTCAATCTTGAAATTAGTTTGACGTGATCTCAGAAGTGATTTTTTTTTTCTTCCAGGGATTTCTCATTCAATCAATATCTATTTATCATCCGCTATCACAAAAGGTGCAAAACCAAGAATTTACAATTTCAGTAATCATAAAAATTTCATTTTGAATGACTACGGATAACTCGGAAAAGTTTTCCTTGATTTCAAACGAACAAAACCAGTTTGACTGCTGCCCTGCAGCAATATTACTATGTACATAAGAAAATTTATTAGACATAGAAACTACATTTAAACGGGCAAAAAAACAGAAATGGATCAAGAACATTAGACTTAAAAAACAATGACTTGATTAAGGATAGACAGAAAACAATTCCTCGACAGTCCAATTCTTGAGGATAGCTTCAGAGAAGAAATCAGCTTCGCCATCTTCGGTTGCAGGTACTATTACATTGGAGAAATCTTCTGTCTGGAGAAAATCAGATAAGTTAAATTGTTCTCCTTTAACTTCGAATGTCATCAGGTCCCAATCACAGGTATTTGGCAAAGTTCCGTCGTCACCGGAGGGATCAGATTCTTTAACTTGCAGAGATTCATGAATGGAGACAGTGGGTTTTACTGCAATATCAGCATTTGTGATTTTCTTGTTTTGCTGTTTATTGTCAACCTTCTTTTTCAAGATTGAATTCCAATAATTCTTAATCTCATTGTCTGTTCGGCCTGGAAGCCTTCCTGCTATTAAAGACCATCTACATATACAGAAAATAATAATAATAACCATTACAATGTTTCTTTGAAAAAGAAATCAGATTTAGAAAAGGAAACTAAAAAAAAAAAAAAAAAAAACCTGTTGCCTAAAAGGTTATGGAGTCTGATAATTAGATCTTCTTCATCTTCTGTAATATTGCCTCTTTTGATATTGGGTCTCAGATAGTTTAACCAGCGAAGCCTGCAACTCTTGCCACATCTCTTAAGACCTGTATTAATTATAGAACTAATCAATAATATTAGACTTAAAGAAAAAGAGAAAAGAACGAAAGAAAGAAAGAAGGAACTTGCCTGTTGCCTTGGCAACTTTGGCCCATTTGCCTTCACCATGGATTCTAACGTATTCTCTAAGGACATGGTCCTCTTCAGCAGTCCAGCTTCCTCTATTAAGTCCTTCCTTAGGAAAGTGAGGACATCTGCCCATTTTTGGACTATTCTCTCTTTCTTTTCTCTACAGTACAGATAAATTAGGGAAAGGTAGATGTTTTTATAGAGAGTGTATCGTTGAAATCAATGTTTAACATATCCAAACCTGTCATCTTTCCTTTTCCTTTTCTTTAAGCAAGTATATTATTGTTAATGACCATGTGACTAATTTGTATAAAAGAATTAGGTAAAACAAGCCAAAACAAGGGTTTCAATTTCCCTGGTTTGTATGGTTTGCCACTGTGGAATCTGTGAACCACGTTATGACGTAATGTTTAATTAAAATCCTTGTTAATTAAACTAATAATTCAGAGCTGTCGGGTATTTTATTTTATAAGATGAGAGATTCAAACATCCAAGGACATTTAAAAAAAATATATATCAATAGATTTTTTAAAAAAAACAAACTATAATTAATTATATAGCTGTTCAGCAACAGCCCAATAGATGGTAAGGTTGTGAACTCAATCAATCATCTACATTGTTTCAGGCACTAACGCAGGGCCTGTGAATCTAGTTCTTAGCCTTTTAATATCAAGAAACAAAAAGACCAACAGTCTCCCATAAAAGGCTTATATACGCATATTCTATATTTGTATAACATGAAATTCGAACAGATGCAAATGATATATTTATATATACGTATATGTGAAATCTACCCACTTATACGAATATTTTATATTTTATATTTGTATATGCATGCAATTACAGTTTTGGCATTACCCTAAAATAGTTCAGAGCAGAGGTATTCATTCTCTTAGCTATCAAGACATTGGAATAAAAACGGCCATGTCCTCCCAAGAACTGTTAGTTGGAGTCATACGGTTCAAACTGAAATATTTAATTATCCTCTTATCGATAGATTCAATACACAATCTTGACAACTTGTTTTATTAGCAGAAAAATTAGTTAGTTCTCGGAAAAAAAAAAATGCTTATTTTATTTATTCCATTCAATCCAACCACCCACTTGTTTTCAAGAAAGAATCGACTGCTGTAATAAGTAGGAAGATACGCACATGTGAAAAGATATATAAATGATGAGCAAGTGTGTTCTATAATAATATAATAATACATTAATGGTAGATTATTATCTATTTTATTCTTCAATAACTTTACAATCTTACGGTACGGTGTACTTTTAATTAATTACAAGTTAAAATAAGTGTAATTTTTATAAGTTAAAATATTTTGAAGAATATTTTAAAATAACTTTACAACCTTACGACCCAATTTTCCTTGGCAATGTTTCTCGACTTCCCTTGACCATGGATTTTGATATATTTTGTAAGAATCTTGTCCTCAATGCAAGTCCATAGAACACCAATTTCCTCCATCACTGCCTTTTTGAGCTTTCTGATTGGAAGAATCTAAATTAGTGCAGCATTTCTCTATTAATGTATGCTCCGGTTGTAGTTTGACGAGTGACTTCTTTTTTCCTTTATTGTCGTCCCTGATGTACATTATTACACTTTGTTCATCGGTAATCATTATGCATAATGACTAAACCATTAACTAATTAAATAATTAATATAATTAAAATCAATTTATTAATTATTTAATTTAGACTCTGTGGGTCCCGTTTATGTATAGCATAACCCAAAAGGGGTGAATTGAATTTTCTAAAAATTTAACTTTCAAAAATAAAAATCAGAATTCTGTTGCAGCGGAATTAGAAAGCATTTGTGATATAGCATAACCCAAAAGGGGTGAATTGAATTTTTCTAAAAAAAAATTTAAACTTTCCAAAATAAAAATCAGAATTCTGTTGCAGGCGGAATTAGAAAGCATTTGTGAAGAAGTTTAAGTTTATCAAGTTTTAGAAAACTTCCTTACAAAACTTATTGCAGAAAGACCTTAGAAAGACTCTATAAAGAAACAATTATTGCATTTAGAAACTGCTTCACAAAACTTACAGCAATTTTAGGAAAAGACACTCTGTGAAGAACAACTATTGAGGCGACTTAGAAAACAGCTTCAACAAGTTTATTGCTATTGTTAAAGAAGACTCTCGTGAAAAACAGTTTATTGCATTTTCAGAACTGGGTTCACAAAACTTTAAGCAAGATTAGAAAACTTTAAGCAAGATTAGAAAACTGATTGTAATTCATATTGTGAATTAAACTGAATATAGAAGGACAGATTAGAACTTGGTATAATCACAATACAGAAATCCAAAGTTCTAGTGTTCCACAGAGATAAAGCTTATTTACGATTAGAATCAGAAACTCATTAATAACTTTGCATTTCTAAACAAATTAACAGTTGTGTAAATAGAATATAATCAAGCAGAACTTCAGAAAGTAAAAAAAAAAGATAAACACAGAGATTTATAGTAGTTCGGCACTAACTCGCTTATATCCACTCTCCAAGACGCATTTTGAGATCCTCCACTATATTATCTCTTTTCAAGCACTATATTATCTCTTTTCAAGGGTAAGAGAGAAACCAACAATACAATGAAATAGATCTAACATTTATCCCACTAGATTTTTCAAAAATTTTAGTCAACCTCAACCCTTTCTATTTTTGTAGAGAACGGAAATTCAAATCAAGACATTAGAATCTCACACAAGGAGAAGGTCCTTGATAAACTATTACACCATAGCTTTTCACCTAAACTATTACACAAAAATGTTTCAAATAAAGAATCTGTCTACAATATATTACAAAATCTGTATAGACAGAGAGAAATGCAAATATAAGCACATGAAGAACCGAAAACGAATTTAGAAAACAGATTTAAAGATCAGAACTGTTCTTCAGAAAATGTTGTTAATAAATTTTCCTTTCTCTTAAAAATTTTTCTTGAAGCAAAAAGACGAAAAGAAATAAGGGGATTGAAGAGAGAGCTTTGAGAGATTTAAACTTTGAACAATTGACTCATACTCTTTGCAAAAACCCATTCTTTTTAAAAGAGGAAATGATTTTTATATGGAGGAAATGATTTTTTATATGAAAAGATGATATAAGAGAGAGCTTTGAGAGATTTAAACTTTGAACAATTGACTCATACTCTTTGCAAAAACCCATTCTTTTTAAAAGAGGAAATGATTTTTATATGAAAAGATGATATTCTTTTTAGAAATTAATGTTGAGATTATTGCTTTAATGAGCAATGAAGTTTCTGACATTTTTTAAACTAAAGAGACAATGCATGGGCTGTAATTAAAAGGGTTGTTAGACCACTTTTAATACTCACACACGTAAGGTTTGGAGGTGAAAGGATTAGTTTAGAAAATAGTGTAACTTTAACAGCAGAAACAGCCAGCTGCATTAGAAACAGACAGCTATATTAAATTAAAAATTGCTTTTTAGATCAGAAACTGCTCTTTGCAGAATTTCATTTAATAGCCACCAAAAATATTTACTCCAAAGATATTTTAGATGGGAAAACGTGAAGAGTAAAGATTTTGGGTATATCTTCTTAATAAATTTATTCAAAAACACTTTGAAACAATATTAAGAGAGATAAAATAGATTTGTACTTATAAAATTATTTACTCTCTATTCTACAATAATTTCTTAAGACTTATTATAATACTAACCAATAGAAAATATCTTCATAGTCTTCAAATAAAAATCTTGAGTTGTAGGAAATTCATTTCTTCAATAATTTTCATATTTGAAAAATCTGCATAAAATAATATTAGCACATATAAGAATTTTAAATTTATTTATTTTGTATAATCATCAAAATCTCAAGATAAAATTGATACTTGAACTAACAGACTCTTTTATTAACTAATTAATATAATTAAAATCAATTTATTAGTTATTTAATTTAATTTGAGTCTTACAACATTTAATTAACTCACATCAAAACAAATAACTGATTGATTTAAAATAAATCAGTTGAATTAATTAAAAGCAACCAAAAAAATTACTACAAATCCATTTAAATAGGAAAATCAATCTGAATGTATATTGTATATACTGGGTCTTGTAAGATGCATGAGATTATAAATATTACTATACATTATATAAACAAATAAATTTGAGGAAATACTGTTGTGAAAATTAGCTTGGACTAAAACACAGCACCTGCTGTTTAAGCCGTCATGCAACAATAATTAATTTATGTGTTCAATTTTGGTGCTGGTTTATTTTTTAATTTTCACATTAATTTATATATATACATGCACCATTATATGTTCTGCAGTAAGGATAACTAAGTTTTTTCTTTCTTTTTTTTTTAAAATATTTTCTTATGATATTATATATCGAGGAAATTGCTGCATGAGAGAGTACGTACGTAGAGTATAGAGGAAGCGTGCCTTAATGGTTGTTTAGTTGACTTATTGTCCAGTTTTGGTAGTTGCATGTCGTTTTAGCGTTCGCTGTGCCCTGATCACGGAAATTAATCGCTATTATCTCCATATAACCACGTTTTTTTTCTATTAATAGTATAATATTTTATAATTTCACAAGCAAATTGACCAGGACGTTTTCCAATGCTGCTGATAGATGCAAATTGATAGTGAAAAGTGAGTGGCTAAATGCACCTCAGAGCCAACAGAAATTTGTCATCCAAATTATATGGAGATTGTTAATTAACTTGATGCCATATTGCCAAGTTGCTATGAGTTTAACTTTTAATTTTTTTCGTACATGAAATTTTTCCTGTGGTGAACTTTACTGAATAAGTTTACAGTTCCAAATCTTAGAGTTCTTTTTTTTAGGAAATTTAAGTATTTTATTAATTTTTATATATCCAGAAAAAACTTCACATTTTTAAGTATCTAATACCAGCCATGTAGGAGTTGAAGTCAAGATTTTTCTATCACTCCGAATAAACCCAACCTAATCTGAAAATGTCAGATAAAAAAACCTGGTAACCAAAACAATACAAAATTCATAATAGACAGCTATTTTTTCTCTTGAGATAAGAGAATAAATAGTTGAAGTAAACCAAACACAAAAACTTCATGTCCAAGCCTAAAAATCACTCTACCCATAAACTCCTTTCTTAGCCAACACATCTGCAAAATTATTCTTGATTCTTT